TAGCATGAAAAGACCAAATGGGTATAAAGCTACCATCATCAGTCAGTAAAATTAGCATGAAAGAGAATATATGAGCATTTGTTATATATGAGCTTCATTTTGAACCCGTAATCAGAAGAGTGATTTTAATTTAACTCACTTGTTTAGCTGTACTTTGTAAGTATTACTAGCTTCCACAACCTTGGCAAGTTCATTCTCAAGGAACTGAATCTTTGAGAAGGGATCAACCTCATTCTCAACCTGCATTAACACGAATAGATGAAACAACTGTCAAACATATTCTTAGAATAAATATTATCTCAAGTGCTTTCAATTATGTTAAAGAGCAAAACCAAGACAACTTTCTCCTGTAATTTGAATATTAGCAATATGTGGACGAAAAATAGGAGTAGATACCTTTCTTTCATGATTATTTTCAGGATAATTTATTCCACTGGATTCCCTGTGATTTTGTTTCTCAACCTTCATGAGTTTTCTTTCTTCTTCAAGGGCTTGAGTTTTCTTCAGATTCTCCTCTTTTGCCTCCTCAAGTAGTTGAATCTTCCGTTGCAATTTTCTATTTGTTCTCTTGGTCTGGCCTAACTCATTTTTCAGCTCATAACCTTGTGCATGAGGTGCATCCTTTGACTTTCGATTGCCTTCTGCTGTAATTTTTTGTTTACTATGCTTGAAGTCCTCTAACTCCGATGCTGCCTTCTGCAAAGCAGAGATCTTCTCAGTTAATGATATCTTCTCTGCCTTCAAGTCTCCGCATTCATTGGATTTTTGACGGAAAGAATCTTCCAGTGTCTCTTTCTCAGACTTGACTATGCTAAGCTCATTTTTCAGAGTCAACAGTTCATCTTCAAGATGGTTCACATTTAGCAACTGAATTTTCAGATTGGTCGATTCTTGTATAAGTTGTTGCCTTTCATACTCTGAAACTGTAAGCTTCAGTTCAAGATCATTGACACTATTCTCATATTTTTCTTCTTTTGACTTGTAATCCCCCAACATCTTTAACTTCCTTTGGTGATCAACTTCCTGCATTTCTTGTTTTTTCTTCAAGGAAGCAAGTTCTTCCAGCTGGGATTGTATATGTCTGTCAGCTTCTTCTTTTACAGTACTGAGCTCATTCTCAGTCCACTTCAGTTTAGATTGGACCTCTTGAAGGATAGTTTCCAGTTTAGCTTTATCACAATCCAACTCAAATGCTTCTTGCCGAGCACTGGAAGCTATTTTCTCCATTTCCATATGAGTTGCAGAGAGTTTGTTGGTGACATTTCCTATTTCTCTTTGAAGATTCTCAACTTCAGCTGCCTTCTCAGAGTACATCTGGTTCAACAAGCCTTCTCCCAGTATAATTTTCTCCTTTTGTTTCCTGTTTTCATCAAGAAGCACATCTAATTCAGAAGTTAAGGTTTTCTCTTTCAGTGTAAAATCTTCCAGTACCGAAGATAAACTTTCTTCTAAAATTTCAACTCTCTTAGAGCAATCTGCCATGCTTTTGTTTGATTCCCTTAATCTAGCCTCCAAATTTGTGCAATATTCCTGCAGTTCTAACTGTTCCTTCCTCAATTCTTCATTTGATTTCTGAAAAGAATTCTTTTCTTGAAGGAGACTCTCTTCAGTTTGTTGTAATCTTAGATTCTCACTTCTTAACCACTCACATTCTTTGTGTGTTTCTGAAAACTGATCATGCATAATCTGCAGCTGACTTTTCGCATGTATTTTTTCAGTTTCTAACTCAGTTGTCAATCTTTTTATCTCATTATGGAAATCCGGTGCAAGAGATTTTGAATTTTCTAGTTCCACTTGGCTTGAAACCCTGCCATCTGTCAGGTCCCTCAGTTGAGGTTCCAAGTCAGAAATGCATAGTGACAACTGCCTATTTTCATGTTCCAGCTCTGACAAGTGCAGCTCCAGTTCATGCTTTTCAGTTTCTAACTCTGAAGATTTCCTTTCTAGACTTTTATTCGCAGAAATGTACGAGTCCATGCTGCTGCTGAGCACAGAAAAATCCCTTCGCAATTCATTCAAGCATTTGGTTGCTACATCAGTTTCTCTTTGAGCAATTTCCATGTTTTCTTCTAGTAGGACTTTATCTTTTAGAAGATTTGAGAACTTTACTTGCAGTTCATATTGAGACTGTCTAAGACCCACATTTTCCT